CCTGTCACTTCTTGAAAATTGAGGGTCCTTCAAGTGCTCGACCTACAGTCGTCCCCCAAACAAAACGCACATATGTACTATTCAACTTTCCTTGGAAAAGTCAATTTTTCAAAGTCTCCCCTGGAAATCCAACTCGTACGCACGTTCAAATAGTACACATGTATGGTCTATTCGAATACTACGCACATATAGAAGGGTTCTATTCACATAGAACATATCACCCGGTAAGTCCCTTGCCATGCTTTCCTTCTTCTTTGTTAACGACAATTCCTTCGCTCGTTACCTCCCCCGTCTCTTCCCGTATCTGACCACAATTGTGGTCCAAGAATACGAAATGCCGCTCGTTTTCAAAAGCGCGCCCTTGCAGTGCTCCACCCTCTCTCTTCTCTCTCTCTCTCTCACACACACACACACACACACGTGCCCCCCTGCAGTGCCACGCCCGTTTTCAGGCACGTGCCCCTGAGTCACCTTCAAAGGTAAGGGCATATACTTTATTTTTTTTGGGCCCCCGTTTTCCAAAGTTGGTGCCCAATATCCGTAGCATAACGCCCATGCGTTGTATGTGCATACAACCCGTTTGTTCTATTCATATACAATGCACGTGCGTTCTATTCATATACAATGCACGTGCGTTCTATTCATATACAATGCACGTGCGTTCTATTCATATACAATGCAGGTTTTGTTCGCAGGAAGACTGTAGGACCCTTGGAACCTTCTGTTTCAAGAAGAAACTCTTGAAACCCATTTTTTTCAAGAGGCTGTGTTGCGGTGCAGAGACTCTAAAAAATACGTTTTCAAGAGTGGTGTGGCGAGGCCCTCAGTGTGGCAATCACGGACACACCACATGGACCCCACATTGGTTCTATGGGCCATTAGGCCGCACGCCCAAGCACATCAACAGACAAACTACGGGCTGCGCAGTTCCCTAGCCTGCAAAACAGACCCTCCTTTTTTGCGGGCGGAGCCCCAACAGGGGAGCTAGTAGATATGTAATATATAAATGTAAGGTCATAGTCAGGGCAGGACTGTTTCGACAAAGGTCCGTGGGAATGACTGCAGTCAGATTCGTGCACGCTGGCCGAGATCGCTAACGGGTGCATTTTTTTTTTAATTTAAATTTATTTATTTATTTTTATAAGGCTGCCCAACCAATTCAATTACCTGTCAAATCTGGACAGGACGGCCTTTCAGGCCTTCTTTATTGTCATTATAGTATTACGGGGAACCCCGTAGCAGCCACATCCGTGCTCAAGCCTCCAACGAGGGAACATGCGGGAGCTGCACCCACCAGCAGGTGCGATACCTGATGCTACCGGCTGACCCCTGGCCGGTATCGCACACCTGCTGTACGGGTGCATTTTGGGAAGTGCTACCGGGAGTGTGAGTATTCTGCCCTAAGTAAATTAATTAGTGTGTGTATTCGTTTGTCGTGTAAAGTAGATTGATAGTGTGGGTATTCGTTTGTCGTGTAGCGTTGCTGCGCTCTAAGGAACGGCGGACGTAGGAGGAGAGGGTAGGTGGAAGCTGGGATCCCGGCGGGGTGTCGGAAGGCGTCGGAGCGCAACGCCGAGGAGAGAAGGACAGCGATGGAGAGGACGAGGGCGGCGGCAACCTGCCCAACGAGGTTTAGAGATCTAAAGCCTGCCTTGTCGCAATCAACGGTGAAGATTTTGGATGAGATGGGATTCGATCGCACGACTCCTGTGCAGGCGGCTACGGTTCCCTTGTTTATGTCCAATAAAGACGTGGCAGTGGAAGCAGTAACGGGTTCAGGGAAAACCCTGGCGTTCGTTATACCCATGGTCGAGATACTTAGAAAATTGGAAGAACCTCTCAAGCGACATCAAGTGAGTACCGGGATCGGGTGCCTCTCTCTCTCTCTCTCCCTGTGTGTGTGTGTGTGTGTTGTTGTTGTTGTTTCTGTTTTTTGTTTTTGTTTTTAATAAATAAGAAGAAGATTAGACTGTTTAAAGTATCAGTAGGTTGAATTAATTGATGGAGTAGAAATTAATATGGGGGTTTTAATTTTCTTTTGCATTTTATGTGGCTAATTGATAAGTTTTGTTAATGAGATCGTAGATATTTAAGTAATTAGGTTAAAAAAGAAAAGAAAAGAACCTACATCTAGTTTCCAATAGGTTCTATCGTTATTATGATTTATTTCCCTGTGATGCTGTACTTCCCCCCCCCCCCCCCTTCCCCCCAATTTTCTGTCTTTCCTTCCCCCCCCACCTGGGACCCCCCCCTTCTTCTCCTCCTTGAAACAGGTCTCACATTATATTTTAAAATCAAGGCGGCCGCGGACCTCACAATTCAACCCGGGTTACCCCTAGCATCATTATTATTATTATTATTATTATTATTATTATTATTATTGTTATTATTATTATTGTATAAATTACGCTATATTCTTCTCTCAAAAATTTTCATCATCTTTCAAATTCTTTCAATTCACCTTCACTACCTGCCCATCACTACTCCTAAGGCTTACACAGGGGACCCCTTCTTCTTCTTCTTCTGTTTTTTTTTTTTTTTTTTTTTTTTTGCTGGAAGGCTCCGTTTGGGATGCTTCACTCCCTGAGGTTATATGAGCAGCCTCATGCAGTGAGCTTAGGCTCTCATGGATGTGCTGACATTACAGTACCGCCAACGTCAAACATCTCAGCATATGCCATATAGTCTTCTACCCCTGGAGCAAGGTACCATAAGCAAAGAGGATTGGATTAAGCACCTGCATCTGGGCGAGTTCTGTGTAGAGATGCAGGAAAGCAGATTAATTGCCATTTGCCGCACCTTGCCACAAATACGTCCAGATTCAGGCGTTCAACCCGATTCTCTTTGTTGGTGGGCCCTCGGCCGTGTTACCTATCTATGTATGCAACTACCTAATTCACAGCCCTGTCACGGCCTGGCCTGAAGCCCGGTCTTCTACTCAACGGTTGCTAATCAAGATTAATAATTAATTAATAATTAATTAATAAGTAATAAATCAATTAAAATGAGGGAAGAGAAAATCATGGATCCATAGGCGGCTGCTGATTTAGGAGCTCTGGCTGTTTGATTATTTTTACTTGCATACATGTACTCAAATTAAAAATCATGCTCCAAAAAAGTAAAAAAAAAAGAAGAATGAACACAGCAAAAAATAGTTAAAACGAAATTCGGTCCAGGGGCTGACGATCTCTGTTTTTTTTTCTTTTTTCTTTTTTCTTTTTTTTGGTGGTTGGAGAGCAAAAACATAATTTTTTTAATATAGTTATTATATCTCTATAACTATCTATGCTATGAATAAAAATATCTATATAGAATAATAGACTACTGATAGTACTTTGAGGGGGAGAAGCGGGCACTCCAAGAAAAAAACAAAGAAAAACAGAGAGATCTGCATCGTCAGGTCCTATACCGATTTTTGTTTTCCTTCGTCAACTAATTTGTTGTGTTCGTTCTTTTTTTTTTTGGCATCATTTAAATCCATTTTCAGTTTCGAGTTCATGTATCACGTTTCTTTATGAAAATGTTGCTGCCGAAGATCTTTCTCCGAGTGGATCGCGGCAATTCATGAATAGAATGCTTGTATCTGTTCAGAAACATGCCCCGATACATTAATGAATGATGCCGACGTGTCTTTTCCCGAATACAAAGTGGGTTCACTATTATGACCTCCTATGCCATATAGCAGCCGCCGATCAACCTACATCCACGTGGGCGGCCTTGTACGCAAAAAGAGGTTCTTTCTGAACAGCAGGGGGAGTTGTTAGGAAGAAAAAAAACGAATTACAGTATTTTTTTTCTTTTCTTGTTTTCTTTCATTTTCGCTTCGGCGCTCTGATATCATGTGACAATATATATATTTATAATGACCCCACTTTGTCTTAAAGTTTGCCCGATGGAGAGGATGGGGAGAGAGTGGGGCGGTGCAGAGAATGGAAAAATGGAGAAGTCGGAATCAATCGAATGATATTGAAATTCGAATTAAAATCGAATCTATAAATCGAATTTAAATCGAGTCGAATGAGGGACTGAAATCGTCGATCCAAATAGAATCTGAAATCAATCAGAAATAGAATTAGAAAAAAAATCGAAAATAGTAATAATAAATTTAATAATAATAATAATAATAATAATAATAATAATAATAATAGTAAGAAGACGACGACGAAGAAATCGAATAAGAAAATCTTATTCGAATCAGAAAGCGGATCAGGAATCAAATCAGAAATCGAGAATCGCATGGAGCTCCCCTTTTTTTTTTTTTTTCCCAATCCATTGAGCTTCCTGTGAAGTTGTCATTCTTCAAATCGAGAACCACATCGACTGAAAAAATTAATCGAGGACGGAGTAACGGAAAGGACTCGAACAATATCAGCATCTTTGCCCGTACTCAGTTTGTACACCCTGACTTCGAATCCAGATACAATCAGATGAACAGAATTAGGGGGGGGGGGGGGGGGGAAGTACTTCTTGAAGAAAGAGAGAGAACTGTCTAGAAATTTAAACTTATAATTAGCGGATGAAAGACCGCACTACAATAACGAAACGAAAACAAAAGCAAAGACAACCAAAAAAAAAAGCAAAGACAAAAAACGAAGACACGAACGGAAACCGAAACCGAAACAGAAACAATCAAAAAAGTTCAGGGCTCCACGGTTATTAAGAAGGATAAGGAAGAGGTTCTGAACAGGGGGAGTTGTAAGGAAGAAAATTAAAAACGAATTATTTTTTTATTGTTTTCCTTGGTTTCTTTCTGTTTTTTCGCTTTGGCGCTCTGATATCATGTGACAATATATATATTAAGAGGGTTCAGCCTCCTGATGAATCGGTGAAACTCCGACGAAACAGTTTGTCACAGCCCCTCGTTTGTTGTCCTCTTCTCTCTCTCTGCCTACGATTTACAGGGCAGTTCTGTTTGTGACGATATATATTAAGAAAAAAAACGAAAAACAGTCGCAAACAGCAAAGAAAGATAGGGGGAAGGGAAATTGCAATGGGAATGGTTGTCCCTCTTTCGTTTCCCCCTCCCCCCTCTCCCTCCTTTTCTCCCCCATTCCCCCTCCCCTTCCTCCCCTTCCTCCCCTTCCTCGCCTTCCTCCCCTTCCTCGCCTTCCCCCTTCCGCCTCCTCTCCTCTACACATCTAGATGTGTATAAGAGACAGGTCTATGAGGAGGCGGGCTTCATGCGAGAGTTTCACCTATGTGGATTGTCAGAGGTCGTACTCTTCTCTGAGTTGATGCAGTGATTGCTCCGGT